TTCTGATCTAAAGTCCAGACCTTCTGCTTCGTCTTCTCTCTCCCGCATCTCCGCCTCTATTGAATTATTCCCAGCAGCTTACGAAGTTCTGGTATTCCTCCATTCTAAAAATAACACCCGTCTTTGACTCTTCACTTCCATTCAGTTCCCGGCTAATTCTCTACTTCTCGGAAGAATTATCTACATAATTCAGTTTATTCCTCAGTGCTTTGCAATTTGTCTTCTGCTCTATCATTCAACTAGAGCTTATCTTATCAAGGTCACCTGAAACCTCCACATTCCTCAGTTCAGTGGGCATTTTTTCTCTCCTCATCTTGATGCATCAGTACGGTTGACCCCTCCCTCCTGCTTGTTCTCCTTTGTTCCTTTGATTGTCTTTCTTTACCCATCCCATAAATTGGTGCTTCTGTAACTTAGTTCTGGGTCCTCTTTAATTTCCGTGAATTCTCTTCCTTAGAGGATCTCGTTCTTTACCATGGCATTAAATACCATCTGTGCGTACATGACTTCCAAATTTATAGCTCCTGTCCAAACTTTTCCTCTGATTTCCTGAGTAGTATGTTCAACTACATACTTGACATTTCTATTTAGATGTTTTACAGGTTTCTCAGAACTAACATATCCTAAGTGGAACTCTTGGATCCACCCCCAAACTTGTGAGTTTTCTATGATTAGATGATGATATGCTGCCTTTTTACTCCCTAACTCTTGGTCCATCTGCAAGCTTGTCATATATACCTGCTAGTTATAACTCGAAACTATTCACCCATATTTGTTTCCGTTCTCTCTACATGAGTTAAGTCACCATCCAGTCTCATCTGGATTATTCTGCTACCCTCCTGATTATCTTCTCTGCTTCTCCTTCTGTCCTCTTCCAGACTGTTCTCCACAACGGAGTCGAATCAAGATTTAAAAACTGTAGACAAGACTGTTGTTCTCTTGATTAAAACCATTCAGCGGCTTTCTGTTGCCTTTCCAAAACAATTCTGATTCTCTGCCATGACCCACGAGGCTCTCGGCATGATCTGGCACCTGCTTTGCCCAGCAACTTCACAGCGTGCCACTTTCCCTCATCTCCTGTGCGTTAGCTCTTCCGGTGTCCTCTCAGTTCCTTGACCGGGCCTAGCTCTTTCCAGCCCGAGAATCTTTGTGCAGCTTTCTTCCCTGCCGGAAGCAGCCAGTCCCCTGCTTCTGGAGTGGCCGCTCCATCTTGGCCTTTACGTCTGTATTGTTGTCATCATTGAGAAACTGTCTCTGTGACCACATTATCTCACTTGGGCCTTTCCTTCTCTTCCATTTTCTTCTTAGCTTTCACACAACATGCTTTGTGGTACACTAGCTTATCATTCCTCTCCAACTAGACAGGAAGCTCCACAGCAGGATGGATGTTGCATATCCAGCATTTGTCGCAGTGCCCCGTGTAGTAGCTGCTCAGTTTGTAAGACAACAAGCTAAACTTAAAGTGAGGCTGATATGGAAAATCCCATTTCTCACTGGAAGAATGGGATCAAACTGTCCCTCTCCATGCTTCGTTCATTAAAAAGTGAACCTGTAAACAACTTCACGATGAAGCCAAACACTGCCAGAGGGGCCTAGAGGGGCTGACCGACATTTGCAAGGCAGCATGAAGGAGAAAGTTGAGGTTTGACTAGTCATTGCCTTCTGCCCTTGTTTTCCGTATTTACCTAGGCACGGGAGGCACAGCTAAGCGTGGTCTAGGCCCTGTCTCCTGGGCTTCTTTCTGGAAATACTCAAATTTGGTTTCTCTTGCTTAGTGAGAAGTATAGTCAGACTGTTTGATGAGACAGCTATCTGAATTCCTCACGTACTCGAGTTACTTCAACCGAATTCCAAGCTTCTTGGGGAGGGTTTTCACTGTGTTTGGTGCAATGTGGCAGAATGCAAAGGATTTTGAACCAGAATTGGGTTTGGATTTTTCTTTTAGTCCTATTTACTTTGAAAAAGAAAAACAAGACAATAAAAACAAAAAATAACCCGAGCCTCAGTTTTCCCATCTATACCATAAAAGAATGGGATATTATGGCTTCTGTGGATCCTTTTAGTTTCAACCATTATGAAATCTCTAATTCCTGTTGAAAAGTTATGGATTTTGATCCTGGAGGTAAACACAAAAACCACAGCCTTTAAAAAAGCACACCCTTTCCTCAAAGTCAGTTTTATGGAGAAATAGCGAATACTCATTGGAGGAATGACGCAGTTCTTGGAGACTCTGAGCCCTTGTGACTGCCCTTACCTGACTTTTAGTTTATTGAAAATTATTTAAGAAAAAATATATTTAGAGTTTAATGTTTTGGGGGTTTTAATGACTTGTACTTCACCCTACTGGGCATTAAAGAAGGTGACTCGACTAAGAATAACGAGTGCCCCCTTCTAAGCTGTGGTACCCCAAAAAGAACCTTGTTCACTTCAGCGCAAGTATAAGCAGCTCACTTGGTCGCTGGAAGGACTGCCTCGTACTGAAAAGATGCAACAGACAAGAGAAAGAAAAGCAGCCTTTTATATGAGTATTATAAGGCTGAGTCAGGAAGATCCTAAGCAAATGCATGATATTACTATGAATTTTAGTTTTCATTCAGATAGTAACTTAACAGCTTGCATCTCTGTTTTTAATTGCTCTCACTATGGACTAGTATTCATACTAAATGTTTATCTCACTTACTCCCCAAATATCCTTCAGGCTGGGTGATAGTTTCGCATTGTTATTCCAGGTGAAGAAACTGGGTTGCTTAGAGGTTAAGCAACTTGCTAAATTAAGGCCCAGTGAGCAAGTGACTGAGTTGGGGTTTGAACCAAGTAAATGAGTAATGAACCTTTCTTTGAGTCTAGGATATAGCTAAAAGCATTTTTCAGTGTTTTTAATGGTACTGAAAAGATAATAGGGAAATTAATGGCACTCAGTTCACAAACCAAGTTGTATTTGTTTTGTGTCCTTTTCCTAGAGATCCTGGGTGTTTTCTTTTCATTCTGTCCTATCAATATCCATTCCTTGTAGGATGCTTCAGTTTCAACACTCTAGAAGTGGAATCAAACCCTGAGTTAAAATAACAAGCAGTCATATTTTGTAGGATCACATGATAGTAGTTCACAAAAACATGACCTTATTTGTAACTTTGAACCATCCCTACCTGTTGCTTTAAATATTTTAGTAATACAGGTTTCTCTCCTCCCCGAGACCCACTTTTTTACCCAATCACTTTAATTATGTGAGCTAGAATCCTGTTTCTCACACATCTTCAGTTCTCAACCTTGTTAAAATTAATCATATAATCCCCCTTTAAAACATAGTATTAAATCACCATAGTAACACAGTATCCAAGCTTTATAGATAAAACATAACAGCCCCAAGAAGGTAGCGTTTGGTGTCCCCTTGGCAGCTCTATAACTTTTATTGAAATGCGTTCCTCCTCCTGACTTGTGTAAGGTGGACGGGTAGCATTACTTACACCTGTTTTATTGCCACACGCTTTTAAATTGCCACCTTGTTTTCGTTCACCTTCCTAGTCAAAACAGGAGAGTGGAACACTTGCTTTCCTTTCTGAATTGTTTCCTGGTACTCACCACTCTCTGGGGGATGGAATTGTTTCCTTCAGTGTGACCAGGTAGGGTCCAGTTGACCTTTTGTGCTGGATGGATGCCTTGGAAGTCTGTGGCTATATAAGGGAGTTTTAGAAAAGAAAGCTCTTCACATTTGAGAACTTAATTCGTATCCTATCTAAAGACTCAGTCTACCTTTGGAAAAGGTCTGGTGAACCTTTACAGGATTCTTTGCTTCCACCGACAATTTATAAATTACAGGTGAGAGCATCGATTTGAATACGTTAATCAATTTGAGTATTTTGTGTAAAATACAACATATGTAAAATACAATACGAGTTAATGAGTTCCTCTGAAAAATTCAGTGTCAAATTCTAAAATAAGATGTTAGCATAAATTTATGTATTAGAATTTGGAATATTTAAGTTTTTAAAAAGGAACCCAAGCTAACTGGTAAACTGATTTTTTAAAGTGGATTTTAAAATGTAACTTATAAAAAGTGTTTCTGGATTAATATGATTAGTAGTAGGCTTTTTGATTTTTTGAAACATTTTCTAGTATATGTTGCTTTATGTGTGCTTCGCTGATTTTTGTGTCAGTGCAGGAATTTTTAGCTTTTTTTCTTTGTTTCTTTAAAAATCTTGTTTCCATTTCTTAGAAAGTACCTTGCATTGTCAAGACATTTAGTATTTGTAAAAAATAAAATATGTTCCTCATAAGTTCAGAAATTATGACAGAATCAAGGGTTTAGGAACGTGATGGCCAAGCTTGCCCTCTTGTGAATCCCAGCTCCTCTCTTTAGCAGCTCTGTGAACTCGATTCTGTCCTTTGGTTTCCTTTTCTGAGTTCCAGCATCGTGGCTGAGAGTAAATGAGACGGTTTACGTCGAGTGTCTCACTTTGTGGCTGACAGCAGAAACTCAAGTTCTGCTGTCGTAGCCACTGTTTCTCTCTGAGCTGGAGGAATATCAGTCAGGTGAGCGCATTCGTGATCCGTTAACAGCAAGCGGACAGCAGGCTTTGGTGTTAGATAGGCCAAGGTTTAATAAAATTCTGTTTTTTTTTTTTTTGCAATTTACCACTTGGCACCTGGGGAATGCTGCTCTAGGCTATTTCCTCCATCTATAAAGTGAGGTTAATGGAATGCACCTTTCAGGATGTGATGGGATGATTAACAGAGCTACCTGCCTGAGCTCAGTGGGAAGAAGGTACGATAGCTCCGATGAGGTGGTTGGTCACTAGAATGTGTCGCTTTGCTGCCTTTTTTTTTTTTTTTTTTTACTAGCTCACAATCTGTTCCCCTGAAGTGTGTAAATTTTAAGTTCATTTATAAAGAATTCCACTGAGAAAGGAAATGTTACAGGTTCAATGACTTGTCATGATTAGATACTTTATCAAGAAACTTACTGCACATCCCTTTTCCCCTTTGTTCTGTCTTTGCCGCAGCCTCACAGTTAGCCAAGTTGGCCAGAACTTCACTTTCGTCCTCACTGACATTGACAGCAAACAGAGATTCGGGTTCTGCCGCTTATCGTCAGGAGCTAAGAGCTGCTTCTGTATCTTAAGGTAAGAGAGGAGGGCTTTGGCTATTGGCTAGTTCTGCGAAACAATGTCAGCTTTCGCGTTGTTCTTCTGTAATTAAATTTTCCAGCTGTTCTTTTTATTTTCCTATCTGTTTCCCACAAGTCACTGCACTTGGGGAGAAGGACTTCGCAGTGTTGTTCTTGCACTGTAAGTTCTACAGATAATTGTGTTTGTTTATTTGTATCACATCCCTTGGGTGGGAAAGGGACCATTGCTTCTGTGGAGTGTGTGGAAGCTGGAGAGTCAGCATGGCTTCAGTTCCTCCTGCCGTTATCTGGAGCTGTCAGAAATTAGCCTGTTAGGCTTTCCCTTGGACATTTTGTGTATGTAAGATTATTAATAAAGTATGTGTCTGTAGCTCAGGACGTCTCGCAGACACTGATTGTGCCCTCCTCAAAGCAACACCCTTGCCCCCTTTGGGTCAGCGAGTGAACGAGTAACTGTTTCGCAACTTGGCTACCTCTGTAGAGGTTCGCAGAAGGGCAGAGTCCCGTGAGGAGGCTTCTTTAGGTCTTGTGAAAGCCCGTCAGACACCAGAGCCACACTCGCTGACACCAGAGCCACACTTGCTGAATGCTCTGTTTCCTCCTGCCAGAGGGGTAGGGCACGTTCTGGGCTCCAAGGCTGTGTGGAGATCTGATTTTGGATCTGCCGGCTCTGTGGGCTCCTGCTGGGCGCCTCCCGAGGGGGAAGTAAAGGCATCCCGCACACTCTCCTCCCCATCTGCCTCGGTTAAGTAGGTGTCAGAGGGGCCTGCCTCCTGTCTCGCTCTGCTCATGTGGAGCAGCCCAGGGCAGGACGGTGGGGAGGTGCCCCTGACAAAACCCGGGCCCCCAGGCTTGGGCTGGGGCCTGGGGATAAAAGGCCAGACCCTCCATGAATTCCAGAAAGAGTATTTCTCTGGTGTATTAGTGTCTGCACTTTCTTCTTCTTCTCACCAAGAAAAGAGTCCCCCTTCCGCAACACGCGCACCCTCACACCTGGGGGGCTTTAGGGGGAAGGGCTGACTTTCGGAGTGCCTTTGCTCAGTAACTGTCAGTCGGGGCTGCTACTTTTATGTTTCTCTGCACAAATACCGTTATTATTTTAAATCGGCCAAGTCAGTTCTCTGTCACCAAGCGTGGCATCTGTGATTTGGGCACTAGAGGGCAACTGCTGGAAAGACCTCAGGAGGAGGCGCCGCCGGGGTCTGCGAGATGAGGTGTGCGCGTGCGCGGTGGTCAGGCCCGTGCACCCCTGCCCAGAGCGTCAGCCTCTGGGCGCGCGGCTGGGTACTCAGTGATTGAACAGTGTTGGTCTCTGTTTCTCTCTTTAAAGAAAATTTTCTCTTTCATTTTTGCCTAATGTTGTATTTTAGCCTTGGTCAGGACATCGCATATTCACATCGCATAGTCATTTAGAGGAGATGAGAGTTTAAATCAAGTTCTTCAAGTTTCGCAGAAAAGTTTTTATCCCCTGAATATTTTGGGTTATGGTGTTTCTTCCTTTCAAAGCTGGTGGGTGGGTGTGTGTGTGTGTGTGTGTGTGTGTGTGTGTGTGGTTGGGAAGATGACTGAACTGACATGTCACATTCACTCAGCAAGTTTCTGAGAGTGGAAAACTGTTTAAACAATTAAATTTAAAAATTGCTCTCTTCTGCTTCTAGTATTTGACTTTGTAGTGTGTCTGCCTGGAGAGTTGTGGACTTCGTGTGTGTGAGAAGCTGGTCGAATAGCCTTCCTGCTGCCAGCAAATAGAATAAAAAATAGCAGCAATTGGGGTGTTTTCTTTCTGTTAGTTAAATTAGTTTGGAACTATGGACAAAAATTGGTGGGTTACGTCATTCACTTGTATGTCAGCCCTTAATAGAGTGCCTACTATGAGCTTCCCTTGAGTTCCCAGGACTGGGGAGATGCATGACTGCTCTGCGGTATGCCATATTGATGCCTAGAACAACCCATTGGCATAGTGTCTTCTTCCTGTCGATGTTCTAGTGCCCGAGGAGAGTGACTGTGGTGATAAATGCAGAGTCCTATATGAATTCTGGGGCATGTGTTTCATGGGTATTTAACACGGGAATGGGGGAATCTCACTTTATTGTTTCCAGCTTGAGAAGCTATAGAGGGCGCACACAGTGAAACGTCCTCCGTGCTTGCTTTGGGATTGTTGCTGGGTTGGGATGAGCATATACGTGGAAGAGTCTGCTGTTAACCTGGATGGTTGTTGGCGGCGAGTCAGTGCCGGGTGGGGAGGTCTGCAGACAGCGTGAGCGCGGCTTGGGTTTGGTTGACATCACTGGCATTGTCCTCTTTCGCCACTTGGTCTCCTTGCTTTTTTCAGATGCTGTCCCTTTAGTTAACCTGTGCCTTGAGGTCTAGTCACCATTGGTGTGCTGTGCTCTAGCTCAAGTCTGCCCATAAGCTACCTCTGTTTTTGCTTTCCGTTTCTTCTTCTCGTGAGGAACGTGTGTCCCAGTGATGGCATCTGTGCACACGTAGCCTCTGCTGTTCCAGGATTTAGCTTCTTAGGGTCTCCTCCTCCCCGATCGTTCTCCAAAGCTCGCATGCTTCCTGGCCCACATGAGCCTTCACACATTTACCCGTCCTCCCAGACTCAGCTCAGGCCCTTAGCAGCCTTGTTCAGACAGAGATGATCATCCCTTCCTCTGGGTGCCCCCAGCATGCTTTGCATACTTCAGTTACACACACGTCAGTCCTGAGCATCCTTTGTCTTACTCCTATGTTAAGTCATCCGGGTAAAGATTGTATGTTAAGCAACTTTGTATCTCCAGCACTTAGTGTAGTGCTTGATCAAAAGATTGTGTATGTGGCTTTCAGAGACAGGGAGATGCATTCCATTTAAATGGAACAACGGGGCGCTGCAGGCTCTGTTAGAGGACAGGCTTCATGGGACACTAGTTCAAAGAGAAAATATGAAATAGTTATTTGCAGAAGTATCGTTTATATTATACTTATTTCATTTTAGTTGTAAGAGGTGAACCTTTGAATCTCACAGTGTTAAGTGACAGGCCTTGTGTCCGTAAAGGACCAGGCCATCAGTATTACAAAATTTAAATTGACTTTCACAGTGAAAGGTTCTTAGACGTCTTTTGTAAAATAGCTTATTAGATTCATTCTTGGATGCATTGTCTGTTCCTCCTGCTAGAACGTAAGCCCCATGAATGCTGGGAATTTTTATCTGTTTTGTTCACAAATATACCCAAAATGTATTGAAAAATGTCTGCACATAGTAGGCACTTAATCACAAGTAATACTGGTTTTATGAAGGAATGAATCCCTGAGAAATAAGCCCTTTGTTTATTTAAAAATATTTTTAAAAAAATTGGTTCAAACTCTTGTCACCAGCTAACCGTGACAGAAATGTAGTTGTACCAGAGAATAAACACGTCTCATTAACACAAGTACCATGGTATACAAAGTTAAATGCATTATTTTCTCCCACACTTAACTAGTTTCTCCTATTAAAGCATTTTAATTTTTTTTGAGATTCACCATATTATTTAACTAGTTGCTGGATGGTAGTTAATACTAGATTAAAATCACCAGCTAGGAGAACCATAGTTATGGGTGAGTTAGTTGCTCTTCATTATAAACCCAGGAATGTGAGAATATTTTAGCATTTTCAGACAGCATCGTCTGAGTCTGATGTGGTGTAAGCATTTACTTCTGATATCTTTCAAATATCATAAAACAAAGTGATCTAGAACCAAAATTTTTCATGGCTTTGGATTTGCCTAAATGGTACATACTCATCAAAGCTAAAACTGTAATGAAATATGCTATTTATAGCCAACTTCTGGTTTTGGATGAACAGAAGGAACGTAAGAGTTCAAAGTCATTACGGTGTTGTTTTATTTGGAGGGAGATGGTTTATGGGAGATATGTCATACAGTAATTAAATGTCTTTACTTTTTATTAAGGACCTTTAAAAATATTTGTGTTCTATGGTTTTCTCTTCATTAGGTATAGAGATCTTATTTAAGCTCTTGGAAAAGCTTGAGTGACTCTACCTAAATAAAATTTATTTAGAACTTATTATACATTTTGGGAAGAAATAACTTGTGTCCTCAAGATAGTATCTAAAATATTTTTGTTTAAGGTTTTAAATTTTTATTCAATTAGTGTCTTAGTACCTGGTATGTATCAGGTATAAGCAATGCATACCACTTGGTCTTCGGCCTCAAGTTCCCTTAAAAGAGACATAGAGGTCTAGCCCTAGCTCTCCATATGTGACCCTTTCAGATGTCATGTTCATATGATATTTTGATGAGCTGAAGTTTCTGAACTTGGTAATACAAACTGAAAACAATATATACTTTTTGACCTTTACCAAATTTAAAATTGAATATGCTTCTGGATGCACTGTTCTCAGGCCACCTCTGAATTTGATACCCCCTCCCATTTCACTTCTACCCTTACTGTCCTCGGAGCCACTCAATCTTTGGAAAGGGACTGTGTAAACAAATAATTAAAAAATAACGTGGCAAGTGCTATTTAAAAAAATATGTAAGTGCGAGGTTCTGTGAGGTCACAGATTAGGCAGTGCCCATCTCTGCTCGGAGAATCAGCGGAAGTGTTGCTGATGGTTTCCAGTTAGACTGGGTCTTGCAGATCAGTGGGGGCTTGTAGGAAGCTGGAGGAGAAGCTCCTGAGGCAGTGAGAACCGGTGAGCAAACGCCCAGAGAAACGAAAGGCAGAGCTGGATGAAAGAACGAGAATTTGATGAGAGAGCAGTGGCAAGAGATGATGCCATTAAAGCCTTGGGGCCAGCTTGTGAAAGGCTTTATGGGACATGCTTGAGATTTTGGATTTATCCCACAACAAATGGAGTGCCATTGGAAGGTTTGGGGCAGGCATTAGAAATCCTGATGTGTGTCGACCAAAGAGCAAAGTGCGTGAAGTTGCTGTTTACACACACTCGGGGTTTTCTGGTTACTATTGGAAGGGATGCCGCACATCCCCTTGGGAGCAGCGCCCTGATTT